AGCAGGGGTACCCAGGTGACTTGGGTCGCCCAGGAGGAGCAGGACCTGCTGCTTAGAAGTGCCCACATGAACACACCCACCTCTGTCGGGGGCAGAAGCAATGCCAGTAAGAGACGGGCTGGCTACGAGGGATTTCACCCCTGGTTCATGGGGTGTCCATGCTGACCTTGGCTGAGCAAGGAACCAAGACTGGCCTAAAACTGCAAGAGGGGAGATTTAGATTAGATATAAGGAAAAAGTTCTTCCCCATGAGAGTGGTGAAGAACTGGCACAGATTGCCCAGGGAGGCTGGGGATGCCCCATCCCTGGAGGGGTTCAAGGCCAGGTTGGACGGGGCTCGGAGCAACCTGGGCTGGTGGGAGAGAAGTGTCCCTACCCACAGCAAGGGGCTGGAACCAGATGATCTTCAAGGTCCCTTCCAATCTTCCATGATTCTAAGATAGGACTTTTGGCAATTCGCATTAAATTTTGTACGTGCTTTCTTTTTCTTCTTTGTTCTTCTTTGTTCTTCTTTTTCTTCTACACCTTTTCTCTATTTTTTTCTCCTTCTAAATTCTTTGTTATTTTTCTCCTTCCCCTCTTTTATTCCCCCACCCCGAGCACACACATTTCCCACCCGTGGCAGATGACAGAGGAGCAGCCCAGTTTGGCAGCACACTGCTTTGCTCCCAGGGAAAATCCAAACGCTTTCCTACCTGACTTGGGGCAAAGCTCCGCCGTGACACAGGTGCACTGGGGCATCCACACACATTAAATGGGTTAAACGAACTTATTTTGGAACCAGCACACTTTCAGCTCTGGCAGTCCTCGAGCAGCAAAATGCGACACAGGTAAGGGAAGAGCAAAAATGTTTATTAGGAGCTCTGACTTCCTAAATTGATACAGTCATTATCAACCTAATTATATAATTACACTTGAAAGGAGGATTGCACATCATCCACGGAGTAAAATCTAAAGGAAAACACAAGCACTTATCTTGTAATCCCAAATTAAAACTATCAAGTGCTACGTTTAAATTTGCAGTAATGCTTCAGCTGAAGTGCTCGAAAAATACCGTAACTTTGCATTTTAGCCTTACTTTGGTAGCCCAGGTAGGCCACGGGAATTGAATACTAACTGATTATTAAAAAGATAAAGTGGTTTAGCGATGCACTAAGCGTACAGAGAAATGGAACCATTATGTGCATTATCTTTTTCAGCTGACTGTGCAAACGCAGGCCTATTCCGAGCATGTAATTATTTCCATTCAATGATTAGATACAGTATTTTAATGCATAAAATGACCTAAGTGCCTACATTTAGGAATATACAGGCTGAGTGGAATGAGATGTGCTGGAAGAACTCGAAAAATAAGTGGAAGAGACTGCCAGGGAGAGCGTGCTGAGTGACTGACCAGCCTGAGAAGGTACATACGTGCGAATCCATCTGGGCAGACACACACATGCTCATGTGTGTTGGAAATAGTAAAATAAGACGCAAGATTCTGCTTATGAATAAAAGATCTCGGCGTGACAGCAAAGAACTCCCCAACATGTAATCCTGTGCTGTTGACTTAAATCAATTACACTGATAATTTAATGGATGATAGCGAAAATAACAGAAAGATGACTGCTGAATATATTAGCAGAGATTAATTATTATGAAGCTTTTTTTTAATTAAAAATACCAGTGAAAGACCAACTTCCCTGGTTTTCAGAAGAAACTCATCTATTCTTTTGGAAGAAAAGGACTTCCTTTAATCCCCTTTGAAGTGCCTCCAGTGTTTCTGAGATTTTTTTAAACTCTCCTGAAATACCTGACTCTTACAGTTTTGGACCACAATCATGCTGCAGACTCTTAGGCTCCTGCCAAGAAAAATCCAGAACTCCTTGTCAAACGCAAGATTTAGACTAAAACAAAACAGGTAAGTGTTCCTTGCTACAATTATATTTCGTGATCTTACTCTGGGTTTTCAAATCCGCCCCAGGCTCTGCAGCCCTGAGAGACAGCTCCAGGCAGAGCTAAGGCTCTTCTGCACTCCAAAACACCCGGTGAAAAGAAAACTGCATTGTTTCCCACACACCAATGCAAACACGCCACAAACAGACTATTTTTTCCACAAGAATTGTTTCTCCTCCTCTCACTGTGTAACAAATGAAGCCTGGTTTTCAACTCATATTTTGAACAGAAATTAATCTGTACAGTTTTCTTTTTTTAAAAAAAAATAAATAAAAATCTAGGTTGGATAAATTAAAAAAATCTGGTTCCTAACTCATCTGAGCGCATGGCACGATCAAACAGGCAACACGTAGGATGGCCAAATGGAAGGGTAGCATAAATAAAAGGCTTTATTCTCATGCACAAACAGCTTCTACAAAGAGAAGGGAAGGCAGTAATTTTAAATATGTCTAAGATCACGAAAAGATTTGGATGAGTTCTTTGTCAGAGGAGTTACAATATTACAATGAGATAGCCTCAAGAAAGCAATTCATAACTCCACTGATGAAGACCCTTCCCTTGAAATACAATTACCAGGTTTGCACCCTAATTAGGCCGAGAGATAGACTTAACACAACATCGGTGTGCAAAACCGCTGGTTCCTCTTTCTCTCAGGATATCAGCTAAAAAATCAAATTAATCAGGTCCTAGAGGAGACCTGGGTAGATGGGTGTGTGCTGATAGATAATAGCTTCTGAGATGTAATCGCTAAAATGCAACTTACTTTGTTCTCTAACAGAATTATCTCGAGATCTGTATTTGTCAGATTAATGAACTAAAAGAAACGTGTGCCAGACAAAAGGACAAAAAAGCAGTTTAGTAATATTAGGTAATAATTTAAAGGTTTTAAAAAAAATCCACTATCTCCTATGCATTTTTATAAAGACTTTTCTAGTTAAAATGTTATTGTCAACTTTATTTTCTGCAATCTCCAAGAACCTTTCTCCTCCATTTGCTTCTTAATCGTGAGGAACATCATCATCACATTTTAATTGTCAATTAATATAGCACATTGATAAATAACTTCAAAAAAAATCAGAAAATAAAAAGGAGACCTATAGTAAAATTCTTTCCAGTAGCTGAAACAGCAACAGATGTGAAGTTTTGAATTAAACAAATCTTGTCCTGCCAACGCCTCTGTTACTGACCTCATCTCACCTTTCTATTGAAATAAAATACATTGTCTTACATCTTCTTGGATGGAAACTGCATTTTTAAAATGGCCCACAGCAAGAATTGGTCTTCTCCACGGGGGAGGGGCTGTCTTCTCACCTCGGAAGAAAGCTGATGAAAAGCAGGCTAGAAAGGCTCATATCAGACATTGCTGACAAAATCCTCCCTGCTGCTTGCTGAAAGCTAGGAAATTGTAAAGGTAGCTGCGAACCTGACTTTGCAAAGCTATTTCAGAACCTCCTCTCTAATGGAACAGGAAATAATCTGTAATTCCTGTCCAAAATACAAGGGCTAATGAGGAAACGTCAAAAATGCACGCTCGTTTGAGCTTTTACATGGCAGGTGCTCTTCTAGACAGGGCTTCACAATGGCTTCTGCCATCAAAAGCACCTCCGTGCTTCCAGAGTCCAAATTGGGCCGTTCCTATCCAGCTGAACCACGGGATACTGGCCAGCTCAGAAGATGACACATCAGTATTCTCCACTCCTCCAAACCCAGAGAGCATCCATCCCTCCATTCATCCCTCCATTCATCCATCCATCCATCCATCCATCCATCCCCCCACCCCTCCCTCCCTCCCCTTTGTAGAAGATAGGCACACCCAATAACACCCTGCAACAGGGAGTGTCACATTTAGGAATCTGACATTGATTTAGGAATTTGAAAATTAAAACACGACCAATTTGGGAATGTTTTTTAACTGAACTATTATGACATTTTAGAGAAGTACACAGCAGCAATTTCATGGTGCACTCTTTTTGAAATTGGAATTTTTAATTTTTTCTACCATGCATTATCACTACTCTAGTTGCATTTAAATGCCTTTTGCTAATATCTCATTTAAACTGTATTGTATTTTAAATAGCCTTTAGTTCCTCAAGTCAGGAACATCTCGTCTTCTTCCACGGCTTCATCCCTCTTACCAGACCAAGAAACTTTTCCTCACAAGCTGTTCCCTGGCTTGTATACATGAGACATTGTATATTCTGGCTTTTGAGCTCAAGTAATTTAGTTTCTATTAAATGTATAATCAGTAAAAGTGTTTAGAATTAAAAAAAAAAAAAAAAATCACCCAGAATAGTTCTCCATTTCAGATAAAAATCCTTAGGAGAAAAATAACACTATGAAGTATATTAACCTTTTTTTTTCATGTATTTCAGCCAACAACATAAGGTTATTTCATCAAAATATTTACCCCCAATATAGCCCTTAACAACCCCGTAAGACCAAATGGGAATATGATTTTTACTTTGTATAATTGTGCATCATAAATGTGATTACATCGTAGATGACCGTCGTGCTGCATGCGCTATACTGAAACGAAAACCACCAATAAAAAGGCAAACTGCATGTTTGAAGGAGGGTGACTGACACTTGGCAGAAGGACGTGGGGAAGGTACTTGCTGGCACCATGTCCTGGGCTCTGCAGGGCCCCCGCAGTGACCTGGAGCTCCCCCGCTGACGCCTTCTGAAGGCATCTTCAGAGCGTAAGGACAACCGGCCAAATTCTGCATCTCTTAGACTAAATAGGTCAAGGAGCTTTCCAACTTGGTTGCAAACCAACGTTAGGACAACATTCTCAAGAAAACCTACCCTATCATCTTCACAAGAGGAGGAGCCTTAATTGATATTTTTACCTTGAGAATAGAATATAGAACCACAGAATCTATAGAATCACAGAATTATTTACTCATGCAAAGGACATTCCCTTCAATTTTTTTAAGCATTTTCACTGTTATATCTCAACTTTTAGTATATACACATGCCTATATGTCTACACTTACCTGTATGTGCCTGACATTTATACTTTTTTTTCAGACAGCCTTACAGATCAGAAAATAACTTCTTACCTGGGGATATTATATAGAAGAAGTCCTTAAACTCATCCATCCAGACCTCTGCCAGCCTCCTATTGTTCTTGTTGATGACGTGCCCTGTGCCCCCGGGGAAGGTGTACGGTGTTGCCTTTCGGAAAACGTGGCCAACGTGCGAACAGGTGACAATCTCGAGGGAGCCACCGCACTGCCAGATCTGAAATTAAAACACACAGAAAACACTGACCACGACGAGCACAAAACGCTCCGAGTCTACCGCAGGAGGGACAGGTGACAGCAGCTATCTGCTGACTAATTTCCCCAGGACACAAATCGAAGGGGAATTCCAAGCAAAAGTTTCAGGGCAAGAGGAAGGGCACAGCTCTTGATGGCAACAGAGCGCAACAGCTTGAGCTGCAGCGTGACAGCTCGTGTGAGCAGTCCTCCTGGTTCTGTTCCTCACAGCATAAACCCACGCTGGCTTAGAAAGGTGTCACCTACAGTAGGTTATGCGTAGAGTAGGGATGCTATTTGTGTATCTGAATCTTCCAGGATTTAAAAATATTTAAAGAAATGGAGAAGAACTTTTATAAATACAGGGCAGTTGGACCTAGATAATCTTTTAGGTCCCCTTCAACCCAAACCATTCTACAATTACCTCTTACAAAAAAAAAGAAAGGATATATTTTTCAGAACAGAATCCGGTTCATGACCATTCCAAGCAAAGGCACAGCAGATCTGGGATCGCAGAACCACAGGAGTGAAACACAGATGCAGAAGGTGTGTTCTCTGGTTCATACACTGGTGAGCACCACGGTAACTCAATGGAGAAATATGAAGTCATAGACAAAGAAAAGGATCTGATGAACTTCTAGATACAAACTGTCCCTTTCTACTTCTGGAGCCAAAAATCTACTCCGAGTAAGCTCAGTGCCTGCAATAGGACTGCATAACTATATGAAAAAAATAATAATATAATCCCAGACTTTAATATCCTGTTGCTAAACGAAGTAACCCATTTTCCTGACTAGCGTCCTGGTACGAAACGCATTGGTTCGTGCACTAACCACTGTTCTGCAGTCTCCCATTTTTATAGGCTCTGAAAAAGACTAGAGAAGAAACTCCAGAACTAGAGAAGAAGCTCAAGAAGGCTGAAAGTGCAAGCAGAGATCACCATGTGGTGCTCACAGGGTTACACAGCTTTGCTGTTCTGCCTTGGGATTCACTCCTCACTTGGCTCACCAATGGATTTTGGCACCCACAAAGGTCTCACCAACCGCCCAGGGCCCTCCTGAGGCTCGTCCCACCCTTCGCTTCAGTCTCCTCCTAGGCAGCCAGCCGGACCAACGTTTACAACACCTCCCGGCAATAAAATGCAGCGTTACAGAACCGCTGGGTGGTTTTAAAGAGGAGCACTGGTAGTCTTGTAATTAGAGCTCCTTGACACAGCCATAAGTTACCATAGTAACTTAATGCAGATTTATTTAACTAGGGCTAAATCCTTTTATATAATTCCATTAGTATGCTAAGTGACGTACTCTGCCGGGATAAGCAGTGAGATACCGAAACACTCTCGTGTTTAACATCATGCGTTGTGCAGCTCAGTGACAACTCGTCAGCTCAGGTGAAGCTTCGAGCTGCTGGATGCGCAGGAACACGCGGCCACAGCCAATGGAAGCACATGTCAAACAGAAATATCCACCAAGGGTTTGTTTGCAAAGCAACTGGGAGTAACTTACTGGGCAGGCCAGCGATGAGTAACGCAGTTGTAGGTGTGCTTTAGCCCGCGGGCTCTGCCCAAGGACCAGCATCCCCCTCTTGCTCTCCCCCTTCCACTACTCTCCCTGGCAGGAAATTCCTCCCACACTGTCGTTTTTTGTTAAAAAATACATGTCCCTGTACATTTCTTGAAGCACATTTTTGGCTGTCCTTGGTACAATCTGCTCTCTGTTATGGTTGTCACAGGAATGCGGATGAACCTGCACCCTCTTCAGGAAGAAAAGGGCTTTCATCTTTTTGGTTATTTAAAAAAAAAACAAAACTACAAACAGACAAATTCATTTCTGATTAATTGTATCTTTCCTTTGACACACCTAAATATTCTAAAGCATAGCAACAATTTTATGACTTGGTGCTTTACTACAGTCCTTCTCATCATCTTAGTTCTCTCTTCCCAGAAGACGACTCACAAACAGCCAGTGCCTCACTCACCCCAGGCTGCCACACTGGGACTCTGCCCCAAGGACTAAAGACAGCCAAACTGCAAATATCCTGCTCCGAGATCAATGGATCTCATTTAAAAACCCACAACCAATCAACCAAACACAAGTCCCCCCCACCTCAAATATTCACACTGAATTATTCATAAGCCAGTTACTGCGACATCATAATTTTTAAGGTGGAAGGTGCCTCCCTTCCCTTCTCCTCTGAAGTCCAACCCTTCTCCTTGCACCTGAATGAATTCCCCAAAATCACGTATTCTTCCAACCACGGCACCACAGTCATACTTCAAATTCATCTCTGCATCTTCCAAGCAGGTAAATTCCACAAGTTTATGTCCCACCTTTTGGAAAGTTATATAGTGGGGAAAAAAAAAAACACCACAAAACAAAACAAAATACAAAAAACATCCTGCTGCAACTTTAGAGTTAAGAAACTCTAATAATGACCCGTTCCCAGCCTGACATCTTGTCTCTCAGCACTACCCATCTTCACACCCACCGGTTGAAAGCAATCTCCATCTGCTCCTTGCTCAGGAGATAAATTCCAGAGTACCCCTTAGTGAAATGTTTTGGCGAAGAACAGATCGAGCAGATCTGCCACATTTCCTTGCTCTGGAAAACGAGCTGTCAAATCCAGCCCCTTATCACTTACCTGCTATAAACCTATGCAAGACTCACTCATTTTCTATTTATCTTTCTGCTCATTAATTAGTTCAAAATCTGTGGTAAGCCACTGCACACCACCAAATTAAACCCAAACTTGTACTTGCCAGCATAATCTGTCCCTTTCTAAAAGTAAAATCATAGAACGCCTTAGGTTGGAAGGGACCTCAGAGATCACCTGATCCAAGCCCTTGCCATGGGCAGGGACGCCCTTAACCA